AACGGGGTTCTGCGGAGCTCCCACCAGTGTATGATGTTGGGGGAAGACATCATCGACATTGACGATTGGCTGTGCGAGTGTTGGTGACTAAGCTTTCGGAGTCGCATGACTATTAGAGGGCTCGCCCGTCCCAGCCTGGTTCATCACCCCGCCACGAGCATCTAACGCGACCCCCAGAGGCATCGACTGCGAAGTGGGATGGCCATAGCTTTGGTGTCGAGCTTGTTGCTGTTGTTGGTAGGACATGGGGGCTTGACCGGAGCTCGAAGGTGCCGGGGACGGCGTTCCACCTCGGTTGTATCCGCCATGAGGCTGCGGGCTTGGGCTCCGGCCACCATTCGAGCGCATGTCACTCGGCGGCTTCATCATCGAGGCAGATACGGCTGGCGAGCTGGAGCGCTTATAAGGATCATACGAGCTGGGCTGTTCCAGCGTCGTCCTCTGGCCGCCTGGTGAGCTGGAGCGCTGATACATGTTACCAGCCTGGGGCTCGGCCAGGGTCGATCGACGAGTACTCACTGCAGGCGAGTGAGAGCGCTTGTAAGGGTCATGAGCAGAAGATGGCTGCTCTAAGGTCGATCGACGAGTGCTCACTGCCGGCGAGTGAGAGCGCTTGTAAGGGTCATGAGCAGAAGATGGTTGCTCTAAGGTCGACCTGCGGGCACTCGGTGCTGGCGAGCTAGCTCGGTTGTGCTGTCCATTCAAGAATGGTTGGGCCAAGGTTGACCGACGTCCATCCTGCTCATCATGCTGACGTCCCCGAGCAGGGGTCGCGCTAGGCGCAGGTGAACGACGGAAGGAGCTGATCGAGGGAGTTGATCGCAGCTTTTCTAAGGCCGCGACTAATGGATCGACTTGCCCGTTTTCTGCAGGGACCGATGGTGGCTGGACTCCACCGTTAGTTGAAGCCCGAGAGACCGGTCGGTTAGATGGGGCAGGCAAGCCACTGGCTGTGTGAGCCGGCTCTTTGTTCCCATAACCCGATGTATAACGGTTGGCAGGCTTGGCAGATGCCGGTGGCGGAGGAGGTCCGGTAGGCTCTTGTTTGGAGGCATTTGGCTCATAGTGTTGTCTTGGGGGGTTGGTTAACTGAGAGTTACTATGGTTGTTTTGGAAATGCTGAGGTGGGGCGACGGATGAGGCCGTAGGAGTACTTTGGACGCTCTGTCGACTGTTCAGACTATCGCTCGTACCACTACCAACGACTTGAGCCATGGCTTCTGCAGGAGAAGCAGCTCGAGAGATTGATGCGCCCATGGAAGAGCGAGAGATCGAGGCTCGAGGGACGAGCCCGGGATTGGGTTCCATACTAGTAAATGAATTGGCTGCAACGGCATCGGCGATGGCTCCTCCCCTCTTGACTGCCGCTTTGGAAGTCGATCGGCTCGAAGCGGCAGGCGGAAGAACGGGGTCGGTTGGTGAGGCCGGGCCAGATCGAATCGCATGGGCTAAATCTTGGATGTTGGTGGTTGAAGGGACAGCGCGTGGATTGCGAATGGATGATCTGATAAAGTTAGCATGTACCGCAGGCGCACGATTGTATGGAGTTTGTTCGCCTCTCGCATAGTTGACGTATTCGGGTGCAACTGCGAACATGACAAGTCAGTCGAAACCAAAAGAGGTTGTATTTGGAGACTAGCACTCACCGTAAATATCGCTACCCGTACGAGCCTGTCTAACGAATTCAGCCACATCTTGTGCGGTATCACATCGCTCCAGAGCTTTTCGAATAATCTCGCATTGCTACGATCAAGGAGAAATTGAATGAGCTCAAGTCTTTTTGGGGAACTTAAAGGGGAATTTTGACTAACTTCATCATCAACAACACAGATTGTGGAGACCCCATTGGCATAATCCCAAAACGAAGTTCGAATGAAATCGATGCGTTCCTCTTCAAGATCTTGCACAAGCTAGATGAAATGCGTTTAGATGATTGAAACACCGCAGGCAAATTGCGGAAAAAACCTTACATCGCAATATCCTTTCCATTGCATATTCCATTCGGCTGTTGTTTCCTTCAAGTTTTTGACGTGTGAACGATATTCGCGTTCTTGATTGATTGACAAACAGAAAAAAAAGATAGCTGAGATTTTTCGAGTAGAGTGCTGATAAATCTGATTTTTTGACTTACCATCCATCTGAACGTTCTGTTGAGCTTTCTCTAATTTCGCAGTCACTTTATCATAATCGCGACCTTGAACTAGATGTGTTTGAGCTGATAATCCGTTGACGGCGATCGCGTTTGCTTCGTACTTCTTTCGTGACTGTTACGATACGCGTCAGTTTTTATCGCGTGATAGATCAATTTAGAGGCTGAGAGAAGCTCAACTTTTTCAGTCAGTTCGACCAGTTCAGTTTTTTTCTTGTGTAATCGTTCGATTGCAGCCTGAGGCTAAGAGGGAGAAGATGGAGGCAGTAAGTCTATGTAAATAATCCTCTCAAGTTTTCTTGGATGGATAGAGTGTGGGTATACGTTTTTCTTGAGACCTTCTCTCCTGGTGACGAATTCAGCGACCTTTTTCTCTAGTGCAGTCCTGATCGTCCCAGCCAATTCGAGATGAGAATGTGCGCTCTGTCTGGTGGTATCCCTGACGGTTTCTAGTGCACGTTTGATTCCACCGACTTCGAGTTCATTATTGTTTGAGTGATGATGGATTTCGAAGAGTGGGTTCTTGGTCAATTTGGTCAATCGTTTGGCATACTCCTCTTCGATCGACGCCCGTTCCTTGTACCATAGTCTGAGATCGTCTAGCAGTTTTGAGGAGTGTCTGTTCTTGTTCCCTAGTGCGTCGTAGCCATGCTCACCCCAGAATGAGTTACAGAATGAGTATGGGTCCGGTGGTAGGCTTGATGGTTGATTGTTAAGTCCATTGGTGACTGAAGATCTCCTTGAGTTTGATCTCGAGTGAGATTGGGTTGTTGCTGTTGACTGTTTTTCGTAATGAGGATGTTGTTGTTGTTGTTGTTGTTGATGATGATGATTTCGGGATGAAGGGCGAGAAGACATGAGTGCAAGTGTTGATGCTGTTGTTGTTAGTGGTTGTTGGCAAGTGTGGATGAAGGGGGGCGGAGTGGTCAACAGGGAAGAGCCGGGCTTTAGTAGGATGTAGATATCCGCGGGGGTATGGGGTTACGGGGGGGACACGATAGTTTGGGCTATGGGCATACACGTCTCAAATCTCTCTCTGGGCATTACAGCAAGTGTTCTTGACTTTCCCCATCTCAACACTAGCGCATACATCCTTCACATCTGAAATCTCCCAAGAACTCTGATCGTAAGTCATGTATCTTTTGAGATGACGATTGACGAAACCTGCTGATTGCCCACTGCGGCCCATTTTTTAAGCATCAGCCCTCCTGCGTTTGAAGTTTTTTTTTTTTTCGTCAGTTTCTCGTGGCTGGTCTGTGGAACATCACATCACAAAACATTTCAACGTCGATATGGCTAGTATGACGGAAAGTACTAGTTCGAATCAAGCGACTGGTCAGTGAAGCATGTTTGACTCGACTTTCTTTATCAACCAATTTGTATCAACCCAACAACTGAACCCGTACATATTTGTTTCTCCTGTTGGTAACAGTTGATCGTGTCCTCGATGCACTGGAAGCTCTAGCTCGAAAGTATCATTATGGCGCAAGGAGCGAAGCCAATGGTTTTATTCCTAAGGGCGAAGAGAAAGAAGAACTAACAGAGGAGGAAGTAGAGCAGCGACACGAAAGATTGAATGAACTGCGATCGAAGCTTCTGCCTTCGTTGAAAGACCACGTCAATGGTATCTCAACCTCATTGAATAACTTGGCCAACAATTCTTCAAGTGATCCAGACTTCGGATCGACTTTGAAGAGCATCGAACAACTTGTTCAAATTACAACTAAGGCCATAAAGTTGAACTTTTCACTTTTTTGGGAAGCACCCCTCCCAAGCAACACTCACGACTACCAGTTGAAAGAAAGTAAAATTTATAGAACTGAAGATCTGTACACAAGCACCTGTTGTTTAGAAAGCAGTCGCAGTTCTCTACTTGAACACGGTGTCGACTTCATTAAATCTTGGAAGACTTCCACCCATAATCGTCCAATTACCAATCACTACATGAAACTAACACCCCGAGAAAGGCTGCTCGAAACAACCACCAGCTACGATGCTCTAATCGATAAAATCATCCGAGCGTCGCAAGTCTCTGAGTTGACTTTTTTACAAGAATGCTGGCGAGATACTAGCAAACATTTCGCCGATGCACTCAAACGCCTGGCCGTCCTAACTGGTCCTAACAGGAAGAATAAGAGCGTGCTCAGGAGGGATATTGTCACTCTGGCTAAAGCAACCACACCACTCATCAAGTTACTAAGGATATTATACATGAAAATATCTACCAATCAATTCGAATTTAGATTGAATACAGAGGAGATCAATTCAAAAACTCTCTCTTTATTACATGGTGATCCACCTACGATCAAATTTCGATGTGATGTTCATGCCTGTTCATTGGAAGACATCCATAAAGCAAATTCCATATGTAGTATCGACAAACAATTTCTAGTCGAGAGGATTCACGATATCTCTAGAACGATCGATTATACTGTTCTTCTTCTCGCTTTACATCTCGTCCCTCTACCACCTTGTAAGATAGATCCTTCTTTACGACATACTCGTGACTTCAAGACTTGGCTTTTCTCGTGGCAAAATCATTGGACCCTCGCTAAGACTAATTTGTTACGTCTTATATCATCTGTCAATCTCCTTTGAAGCTACTCAAAATTAAAGTATGCGTATATATATTTATTTATCCAAACTTGCCATTGTATGAAACTCTCTTTCTCCCCAAGATCACATCCTCATTGGCATATATAAGGCTCCTTTTGGTGGCCCCTGTTCAAGGTTTTCCAGAATGAGTATGGGTCTGGTGGTAGGCTTGATGGTTGGTTAGAGTTGGATATCAAGTCCATTGGTGACTGATGATCTCCTTGAGTTTGATCTGGATTGAGATTGTGTTGTTGCTGTTGACTGTTTATTGTGATGAGGATGGGGATGATGATGATTGCAGGATCAAGGGCAAGAAGACATGGACATGGTGGTACATGTTAGGAAGTGTGAAGGGGGAGTTGGGGATATGGGGTTAAGAGGAGGACATATTTAATAGTTTTGACAATGCACATGCACGGCTTACACAATTTCTCTCTATGATTACATACAGCAGTGTTCATGACTTTCCCCAATCAACTGATGACCATCTGAACAGTACTAGGGACACTATATTGAATTTAGATACAACCTTGCTAAAGATTTCAACATCTATACCGAACCTCATAACACGCTGTCTGGGCCGCAGTTGTGATGAAAGATGATTGGGCTCGGCTTCATGGTTTAGTCTCGATAAAAGAGACAGTTTTTTCATGTTATCTTTCCTTTTTTGGTTGCGGCTTCTTTTTTTTTCTTTCTTTTTTTACTCAAATTTTATTCTTCTAACATTCAAAGTTATAAATCTACATATAACTAGGGTTCCGATCCGGACCCCGAAGATCCGGCACTACCCGACCGGGTACCGGGTCGAGTCGGGTCACGGGATGACTCTAGACATACCCGGTATCCGATTGGGTATTTTTATGCCGCCCTTTATGGCAGAAATCCGGGGTTTTTGGGGGTTTTGGACCCTTTTTTTTCAAAATCAAAAGTTAGTTTTGGGCTCTCCCAAACCGCTGGGTGAAGTTTGGGCTGAAGGCTGAGATCCGTCGGGTACCCGGCGTCGGAGCCGGATATGCTGGGTTCGGATCTCGGAAAGGCGATACCCGAACCCGGAGGCCCGGATCAGAACCCTACATATAACTAAAGGAATAGCCTCAGAGAACCAAACAAACTGTCAGGCTTCAATCAGTATTTCTATTGTTTCTCATGCGGCTTCTAACGCCGGCGTCAATGTTGCACAATTCAATGTCATTTCCGACATTCACTAGGACTTTACAAGACTTTACACCTTCAAAATCAAAGGCTAGACCTTCAAACAAGTAAAACCCCCAACATCCGGGGCAAAAACAACCAGCCTCCCCAAATTTGGGGGCATATACTAGTATTATGTAAAAATATTCTATCATGTATTTTTTCAAAACATCATTGCATGTATATAGACACAGGTATTTACTTAAGTGTGCAATGTCAAATCAATAAGGACTAAAAAAAAGTGTCTATATGGCTAGTATGATGGAAAGTACTAGTTCAGATCAATTTGCTGGTTTGATTCAACTTTCTTTAATAACCAATTTACAGATCGACTAACCCAGCGGTGGGCCGCTATGCTTTTGGCCCAAAAAGTGTAGCGTAGAGGCACTTTTTTTCATCAAAAAAGTGTAGTGTTAGCGGTTTTTTAGCGGTTTTTCACTGCGCTACAGCTCTTTTAGCGGAAAAAGCGGCTAAAAACCGCTGTAGTGAAGCGTAGTGGGCCCTTTTTTGTGGCCCACACGCGTAGCGTTAGCGGTGTTGTGGCGGAATTCCGCTACGCTACGCTTAGCGCTAACAGCAATTCCGCTGTGTTATGCTACACTAACCGCTACGGTTATTGTAGCGGCCCCCCCCCGTTGACTAACCTACTGAACCTATTCACATTTTTTTTTTGGAATAGTTGATTGCATGCTTGATGAATTGGAAGCTCTAGTTCAAAAACACAATCCTTGCATCAGTAGCAAAGTCAAGTAGTTGATGACTAGGGGCAAAGAGAAAGCAGAAGTTAGAACTAACAGATCTTTCTTTTGTTTGTTTTTTTTTGAAAAAGGTTGGTATGGAAAAGAAATCCAACAAGATGAAAAAGGACAACAAGATCTTAAGACAAGAGATGAGGAATCACAAGATCTTAAGACAAGAGATGAGGAATCCAAAGGAGAAAGTGTTAAAAACAGCCTCCAAATCGCATCAGACTGGGCTGCCGCCCAGATCTGCCTGCACGGCACTCTTGCACGGGGGGTTGATAAGCGCAAGCCAACCCCCCACGCGCACGCCAGCTGCAGATTGGCGTGCGCGCCTGCACGCCATTGCAGAATGGCGTGCAGGCAGGCAAGCCATTTGCCTGCAGGTTGGCGTGCCTTTCTGCACGCCCAACTTTAGGTCCTAAACACATATTTATATGCGTTTAGGACCTGGGCTGTCCCATAGGACCCAGGCATGGGTCCTATGGGACTCTTTTTTTCTTTTTTCTTTTTTCTTTTTTTTTCCCCTCGGCCTAGAGAGGCCGAGGTCACACAGCCGGGAGGAACCCCTCCCGGCTCGCTGGTCCACAGTCCAGCGGAAGGAAACCCTTCCGTTGGACGAGGTACACGTACCTTGTCCATCGGAAGGAAAGCCTTCCGCCAACACTGGGTCACTACACTACCAGTAACGGTAGTGTAGCGGTAAAGTAGTGTTTTTTTTGTCACTAGCACTACTTTTCCTGTAGCGCAAATGCACTACATTATCTTTTTCTTTTTTTGCTGTTTTTTTTTGCCACTACACTATCACAACGGCTGTTTTTTGTATTTTTTATTGCATTATAGTAGAGAGGAGATGACAAGAGAAAAATTACTATTAGGAAGACAAACCTAGGAGAGAGAAACATTAATATGAGCAAGTAAGATGAATAGGAATTAATATTGGATGATATTAAATAATCTTGAAGATGATTTTTGTGAAGAATCAAGATGGATGGGGTCGGGGACAGAGGGCACAATTGATGGATGGCTGCTAGCAGGTTGGGACCCTTAATTCAATGACAAGGCTGGACCGTTTCCTCATCAGATTAGGGCTGTTTCACCCCTGGATGGTGCAGTAACTCAATATCCAGGGGTGAAACCGTTACAAAATCAGGTTTTGGTGCTCTCAAAAAGAGGGGCCCAGTTACACTACAGGATATTGCAGTAGCGCACTATCCAGGGGTGAAACCATTACACTATCTGTTTTTTTTGGGTTTCAGAAAAGGGTCCCACTACACTACAGCCCAGGAAAAAAAATTGTGGTTAGTGTAGTGGTAAAGTAGCAGCCAAGCAGCTGGGTGCACTACACTACTCAGATACACTGGATAACGCAGCGTAAAGTAGCAACCCAGTGTTGCTTCCGCTTGGACGAGGTACATGTATCTTGTCCATCGGAAGGAAACCCTTCCGCTGGATGAGGTACATGTACCTCGTCCAGCGGAAGGAAGTGAGAGACTTGTGTTAAGTTTGCCTCTTTTCCACCTCACTCTTCTTCCTCCTGTTGTGAGAACTCCTTTGGGATGTATGGCAGTCCTGTGAGGGGGAAGTAACAAATTGATATTGTGCTTGTTTGATATATATTGTTACAGGTGGTTTGAAAGACCTGCCCCTCTATTGACACATGAATTCTGACAACAAAAAATTATATATTGATGTGCCAAAACCTTTATGCAGTAGTCTCTATCAGACCTAGATCAACTGATATATGGTGTATCAAGTTCCGCTGGGCACATGCCCAAGTTGGGCAAAAAACAAGCCAAGCGTGCTTGGCCGATCTCCAAGCGCACGTGGCACACTCTAAAGTCACTTTGGCACTCTCCCAACCCCCGCTTGACACATGCCAAAGTTGGCGGGGGTCGGGACAAAGCCTCGCTTGGCCGAGCCCAAGCGAGGGTGCCACCTGCGCCAAAACCACCCACCACCCAAACTTGACCAAACGTGACTTCAATGTCCATGGGATCTCACACCCATTGGAACAATTCTACAGCTGCTTCTCTTCACCGATCTTTTGTCCCGTAACGAACATAGAGTCATGGCCAAGAACCGAAGAACCAATCATCGGAAGATTCTCCTGGAACACCTTCATGACTGTCCGCCTGCTACTATTTAGAGACAACCTGACCATAGCATAATAATTATTTAGAGACATTATTACATATACTACCCCCATAGCATATGTAATTAATGTCTATTTTATATGTACATAATATAGAGACATTATTACATATGTACATATAAAAACATTACTATTTAAATAAGTGGAATCACTATAAAAGAGACATTATTACTCATTACATTGCGTTTTACTAGTCATGAAATAAAACATAAAAATAAACCAAAAACATTTATAAATAAACATTTTTTAAACATGAATCTACAAATAACTTCTGAACCTTAAGCAAAAGTTAGAATATTATTTCAGATTCTTAATTCTCATGCAAAATAACCTAGGGTACCTCATCAGAAGTACCCCTGAATTATTACTCCTTCATGTACTTCTGTGTACTCTGAGTGACACTTGCTCATTTTGCTAAAAACCCTCCCAGTTACATCATACTACATGTTGTGACAGGTCTACACATGTAATTAAGGTTCATGCAGTTCGGGAAAAATCTACAAATAAGGTTGACATCATTTAAACCTTAACTACATTGTGACAACAACTGTAACTGGCTGGTCAAAAGCCATTTGTGGCCCTTTTTGGCCCAATTTGGCTAACTACGCCTGGTTAAGACCAGCCCACTGGTCATTAAAGGGTCCCAGTGACCAAACCATGGCTGCAGGTTCGTCACAGCACCCCTTAGTGTGTGTTACAAGCCTCACTTCAGCCCTCTGCCACCTGTAACCAAGGACTACAGGTGTCTAGGCTGTGCTACAGGTCACCAATGCCTAGTAGGAGGCTTGCACCAGCCAAACAGAGTTCTGAGTTCGCCTCCAAGGGCCCAGAATGATTATATAAGGAGCCCTTCTTGCCCCCAAACTCTGATTCCCCATCTTCATAACCACTTACCAGCAATAACCACCTCCAACAACCAGTTTTTCACCTGTTTTTGGCCCAGTTCCTGCTGTTTCTGTCTTGGATATCACCAACTCAACCATCAACTTTTCCCCAGCACTCTTCCAACACCTGTTACCCAGTTTTCTGAGCACTCCCAGACCAGTTTTCACCCACCTGAAGTCCCCTTGGCTTGGAAATAGTACTAAGTAGGTAATATTTCCTTGATACTTCAGTTGTAGGCATTTTGTCTGGGCATACTCCTTTACACAAAGGACCAGATCATCAGGTACATCAAAAATACCCCTGTTTAACAGGTCCTGATTCATTGGAGGGCACCATAAAAACCCCTGTAACTCAGGCCCCTCCTTTTATAAAAACTTAACAGTTTTTATTATTTCTTTTCTTAATATCAATTACCTCCCCATTCCAAGTGTTACCCACACTTGTACACCATTTTTCTTAGCTTTGCACCTGGTGTAGCTAGAAGAGTCTAGCTCTTGGCATCACCCAGGCTGACAATGACCGTCGGCCTCAGCGGCTTTCAACACGGGCTACTTGATACCTGTGTCTGATGAGGTGATGAGGTGAGATTGGATGTCGATGGTCTGATTGGCCCAGAGCTTTGGGTCAGCCAAGTCAGACTTTGGCTTGTGCCAAGATCGAAGCCCCGCTTGAGTTGCCCAATCAAGCCCCCTGGGCACACTTCCAAGCCCCCGTGGCGCTTGGCCAAGCGGGACTTGGGATTGTGCCCAGCGTGGCTTGATACACCATATATGAAATGCTATGACACAAGATATCTAAGAACCTGATTGTGATCACAGGTGTTGGTGAAGGGGGGGTTGATGATGATGATCACCAGCTGGCAGGCTGTGTGATGATGAGATACTTGTTTGTCCATTCTTCATCAAGACTCTCCCAGGTATGAGCGTGTGGCTGAGATGGGGCAGAGGTACACGCCTTGTGCCCAGTTTCCGCGCTCATGTGGGAAAAAAGGGGGGAAAGGAGGGGCTTGGGCCTTTCCTTTTCTGCCCTTTGACCTAGAAAAGACTCAGTAGAGGCGTGGGTATGCAGTAAAGTAGGCAGAGAGGGTGGACTCGGTCTCAAAGCCTAAAACCCTCTGCAAAAAAAAAAAACTTCTCACAAAGGGTGGGTGGGAGGTTTTGGAGAAATATGTCTTGATAGATGAAGGAGGAGAGGTGAACCTGGCACTTCGTGCAGAGCTGTCAGTTCTAGCAAAATGTGGTGGAAGATGGGGCTCGCTGAGCAAGTCTCCTTCTTATACCGTCACTGTTGACGGGTGACTGCAGCTGCAATGAGGGAGCACGGTCCCAGTCAATGATCAACAGGGCGGTCAGGGCCAGCTCTCCGCCTTGGTGACCATGGACGGCGGGGACTTGTCTGTGCCCCTGTCACCTCACAAGATCACCCCTATAAATGGGTTGAAATCTCCAAGTGAGATATATGTTGATGCTGGAATTGCATGAGGAACTTGAACTGAGGGGGGCAAAAAAGGCCTGATTATATAGTCTATTTACACAACGGCTGGCATGTGGTTCTAGCCTTAACTGATATTTTCAAAAATGGCTAGATTATGGTTCTAGCCCTAACCATTTGCCTAGCTCTAAATCTATACTACACACTACCAATGTAACACTGGAGGATTTCCCGTCACAGTTTAGAGTGATTTTTAGACCTCTCTCAGCTCTAAATTAACACTCTAATCACAACCACAACTAGCTCACCTGAGGGCCTTTGCTACAAGGCTTCTTAAGAAAGGTTTTTTTTGTCAAAAATTAAGACCTTCATGGTGTAAATCAAATTCTGCAAGGGTTGTGAATGCCAACGGGAAGTCATCCACTATGCTTTGTAATCATGTTCTATCATAACCTTAACATCTAAATAACTTCTGACCGAGTCGAGCTAGCCTAGTGGTTCCAGTGATTGTCTACAGCTCAAATGTGATGTAGAGTTCAAATATGCAACAATAAAACCAATAATAAAGCTCCTTATCAAAGATCATTCAAGAATTTATCTACTTTGATACTTGAAACACATTTGGCACACTACACCGTCAGAGGAAAAATGGAGGACCACTCCTCCCTCCCCTCTTTTCTCCCAAATTGTTATACAAAAAAGGGTGGTACTTCCCAGCTGTGGTGCACTCTTTTTCTTGAGAATAGCTGAGCAAGCAGATGGAGTTTGGGAAAACAGAGGGTAATAGGTCATAGTTGATTGGGACGTGTATGTAGTCTCTGCTGAACAATTGCTATGGGTCTAGGTCCACTTAAAGTCTGTTCCAGTCTTCTCCCAATACATATACTCCATGATAAGCCTATTGTAAGAGAAGACAGAAACAAATAAAGTTTGTAAGCCTTTGCAAGCTCAACTTGGTTTCTAGTAGGAACTACCTGGAGTTATCTGCTTTGATCATCAGCAATACCAAAATTTGAGCAAGTCAGAAGGGTTCACGATTGGCATTTCCAGTTCCCATAAAGCCATTTTGTATGTGGCCCAAACCAGCCCAAACCAGCAGCCGCATGGCCTGCTGCAAAGTTTAAAAACATGACATATTTATCAAACAAATGAGGATATCCAATGTACCAAACAAGAAAATATTGTTAGCAAACAAGCATCCAAAAGCTCAATCATGAACCCCACTCCAGGACCATTACCCACCAAGCTTCCTGAAAACCACCTCATAACCTACTATCTTCTGCGTCCAAGTTCAAGATGGGCAACAGTATCTGCAAGATTATTGTCTGTTTTCCTCCTGAAGTTGGCCCCTACCGGAGATCGCCTCAGTTACTTGATAAGCTGAAATTTTGGATATATTATAAGGCTCAAGCGGGCATTGCCAACCGACATCGCGAAGATGGTAACAATCATTATCACAAGAAAGAATATCAAGTCAGTCTAATCCTGCTTCTCTTCTTGTGTTCCAGATAATTTCTCCAGTGATCAGATGCCTTGACATTTGTGCGCATGTCGCCATAATTTGGGTCGATCGGCCAACACAGAATGCAATTAATTGTTACACTCGGGCAATCAAGTGTGATGCCTCTCAAAAATACCCCTATTCAGTTCACCAATATATGGGGCGGTTTCGCCATCCAGTTTATTCAGCCTCGTTGGCTAACCGAGCATCAGCGTACATGGCCCTGGGCGAATACCAGCGTTCCTCAGAGGACCTCAGAGAAGCAATTGATCGGTTTGATCCCTCACTGACTGAATCTAACAGAGCGACTTTGATCAAAAGAGTCTTCCGTCTTGTGCGTTGCCATCTGGCTCTACTAGACGGCCTCCGTGGGCTAGATGCGTTGAGAAAGTTCGACTTCCAGTTTCATCCTCACGATCCGGACATCAGCGAATACCAAAGATTGTTGTCACGTACCGAGTTGCTGGTCAACATCAAGAAATCAATTGACAATTCTCGATCGACCAACCAATACTGGCAAACAACCTTGAACCTTATTCAGTCACTAGATAAAAAAATTGAGCCCTGGGGATTCAAGTTCAACTATGCTTGTCTTCCTGGCTCGTGGACTTATTGGAAGGTAGAAGCGCTTGCTCATCTGGGGAAAACTGTTGAGGCTGAAGAAGTGCTTGACCGATGTATCAAGGCTGACACAACCAATGTTGAGTATGTACTACTTTTCTTTATCAGTCAATCTCGCTTAGCGCTGGACCCCGTACCCGGATTGGCGGGGTATACCCGCGGGAACTACCCCGCGGGACGGTCTCCGGGCGGCCTCGTCAGGCTGCTGTGGACCAACGGGTACGGCGGGTACGGGACACGGGCGAGGCCAACAATACCCGCGGGTATCGCGGGTATTATATTAGACCTTTGCAAGGGGTGAGCAGCTGCCAGCCGAAGAAGGATGTGCAACGAAGGCGGCTGCATGAGTCAGCAGGCGCCCGGCTGCAATTATGTTGGAGCAGGCGGCTGGCTGCGTTTATTTCGGAGCAGGCAGCCGGCTGTGTTTATTTTGGAGCAGGCAGCCGGGTATAGCCGGCAGATGCCGGGTACAGGTATAGCCTATACCTGTGCCTCGGGGTTGTTGTGACCTAGGTCACATGGTGTGACTCGGCTGCGGCTCAGCCATCCGGAGGAGACTACATCCGTCTCCTCCGGGCCACACCTACCGTAATCCATACGCTTACACCCCTCTGAGTCACTACAGGTTATGAGCCTGCGATACCAGCTACGCTGAAGAATCTCGAACCGACGGACCATACCGGATTAGTTTTTTTGAATCTTGCCGACCAAATATACCGGACCCACTTCTCACGCCGACGGAAAAGTACCGGCCTTTACACTTCAAATCTTAAAACAAACCGACGCAAAATACCGGATTTGTTTATAAAAAATAAAATAAAATAAAAAAATAAACCTTACTTTTCTTTCTCTTGGATCAGCTATCACGATCACAATGGACCAGTACTCTTATCATGCTTACAGTCGAATTCGACTGTTCCTCGCCGACTTGAATCTTGTTCTAGGATCGTTGCCACCTGCGGGTCCGAATCCCTATCTACCTCTGCCGAGTGTAGACCCGGTCCGATTTCCTCAAGGCTTCAACTGTGGTCCTCATCATCAGCTCTCGTCAAATAGGCCGACTCATCGCTCGAGAGCCTGGAAGAGGCATCACGCAGGAATAGATTACCAACGATCGGAACAAGCTCGCCATGCTCTGCCCATCCTACCAGTCAAGCAAACTGTTGGCAGCACTCCAAAGGAATACAAGCTCCGGTTTTCCCAAAGTCGACGGCCAGCCCATATTTCAAACCACAGAGAGTGCTACAGACCAGTCAAAAACTCTGAGATCACTTGTCAAATTCAATCAACACGTCAAAATGAATGTCTTCACTATCCTGACAATCCCGACAACTTGGCCAACAAGTATCCTAGCGATTGTGATAATTTGGTTGACACAAATCCTAGCGATCCCAATGTTTTGGTTGACAAAAATCCTACGGACCACAACAATTTGATCAAAGAAAATCTTAGGGATTGCGATGATCTGGCCAATGATTACTACAGCGATCAAGATGTAGTGCACGAACCAGATGAAATTGACCTAGATCAGATTGAATGGGATGATCGCTCCGATCTGGACATCAATGCAACTCCTGATTCTTACCAACCAGACCAAAACTTGACCTCCGGCGCTATTCCAGAAGATTGTGCCAACCATTTCCTTCCTAAAACTGAGTCACTTCAGCAACCCAATCCAACTTTTGACTTAAAAAACTACAGTGCTGACGATGTAGACCGCTGGGCCAGTACCTTGTCAGTAGAAGAATTCGAGCACCTTCGTGTTATGGGACCCAACGCTAGAACTGAATCTTTCCGGCAATATACTATCTCCAACCTCAATCAACCGACTCAGACCCTTACTCAACAAAGCTCACTTGAACACCCAGTTCCTACGTCTAATGGCTACCAGGACAACAGCAATTACCACCACCACCAGCCTGATGACATCAGCAGCAACAATTTCGACCAACAACCGCTTGTGCCTCCAGATTATGATCAGTCAAGATCTACTTTCTGCAATCACTCAGACAACTACAACTCTCATCTAGAGGCTTGTGACAATGGTGGATTTGATGATGGCGTTTTTGACGATGGCGGATTTGATGATGGCGGATTTGACGATGGCGGATTTGACGATGGCGGATTTGATGATGGTGGTTTTGATGATGCTTATTATTAGCCTGTTTCACATTCCAACCCTCTTTCCCACTTCTTAAAATTTGATTTTTTTATCTTCAACCTACTCATCATTTCTACCATTTTATTTTATTTTTATGTTTATTATTTATTTTTTATTTTTCAGCCTCAACCTTTCCACGCCAATTTTTCTTCAAGTTTGATCTTATTTTGTTTATTTATTTCTTCTACCTTTCTTCATTTTCTTTCTATTTTTTCTCAGCTTTTTTGTAGTTAGAACCTCCCCGGCAGGTGTCTTGGAGCCTTGCCGAGGGGGTGGGTGTTGTGACCTAGGTCACATGGTGTGACTCGGCTGCGGCTCAGCCATCCGGAGGAGACTACATCCGTCTCCTCCGGGCCACACCTACCGTAATCCATACGCTTACACCCCTCTGAGTCACTACAGGGGTGCACCACACTCGGGTATATTCCCGGGCTGACAGGGAATACCCGCGTCCTGAACCACCCCGCGGGGCATACAGAATCCCCGCTGTCCGTACCCGATACCCTAGGGTATGTTGCGGGCGGCCTGATTTTGTACCCGCTGGTCGGGTATACCCTCAGGTCGGGGCGCCGGGCGACTTGAGAAACGCCGGGTACCCCGCGGGGTCCAGCGCTAATCTCGCTTTCCACACTGATATCTACATGTGATGCAAAGAAGTGAACGGAAAAGGGTGTTTGTCACTGAACCAATTGGCATATTTTCTTAATTTTCTCCGGATGTGCGCCTTCCAGCTTAATAAGAGTGGCAAAAGCTTTGGTTGATTTGGCCAAAGCAGACCTCAGCATGAGAGTCTTCGAAACGCTGCTTTACGCCAATCCAGCGCCAGCTTGGTGTGTTTGACTTGTTTGTTTTTTATAGCCTCACACTGCGCAGTCTGAACCATCTGTATGTAATATTTATAAGGCTAACCTTTTCTTGCTTTCATTTTATTCCCCCCTTTTGGTATCAGGTGTCTTCTGGTGCCGAAATTAATAAGCTCAATGGATAAAATCGAAAGATCATGTTCTCAGTCTCTCCACTTTGCTGCCGTAGAGCAATGTGATGAACTCCTTGTCAGCCTCAAAGACCCTATGTTGACCACTCTCCGAATGAAAGTTGTAACCATCAGGTGTGAACAACTGGCTGAGGTTTGTTGCAAATGTTTTTAAAATGCACCTCCACCTCCACAATCACATATTTGACCTGGTTTGGGTTTACCATCTGTGGATGATGACTGACTTGGCGGTCTCCCTTTTACTGGTGATTGTCGACCTCATAAGCAATGCTTGAAGTATAGATCACCAGAATCCCATCTATGTTACCAAATTGTTGCAAGCAATGTGGCCCTGCACGAGGAGCTCAACTTCACCTGCTCCAAGCGCTTGTCTACTAAGCCCGACATCTACGAGGCCCATCGGATTTATCTGCTCCGATCCTTAATTGCTCTAGCCCGCTCGACCTACCGCTCCAGAAAACATAACTGGAGCCTCACCTACTTGATCATTGCTGACTTGCTCTGTTTCTGGCCCGATTTGCTGCTTTCTTCGCGAGAGGGCATATTTGAGGAAGTTTGTGCTAGAACCAACTCCAAAAGATCCTCCTTCCCCCGCTTCAACAACTCTTTCCCACATTCCTCCCAGAGCCGTTCATCTGGTTCAAACAACAACACTGGCAAAACCAACGGGGCTGATTCGGACCCCAAAGGATACTATCGGGTAACCATTGTCCCATACTTGCTGTATCTAAATCCTTCTTTCAATCTTTGGACTCCCTCCACACGCATGTTTATCTCTGAATTGACTCCCTTTTTTTTTCAAACTCTGCGCTGGCTGTTTGTTATCCTAGACTCTCGGGGTTCGAACAAACGCTTCCAGGGAAGAAATCAAGGAGGCTTTCCGAAAACTGGCCCTCATACATCATCCTGACAAAGGAGGCCAAGCCGAGTCATTTCAAAAGGTCTGTTTCCTCTTTCTCTTAACCCAGCACCGCCAGCACTTCCTGGTTGGACAAACTGATCCGGCCGGTTTCCAGGTGTAATGGCCAATAGATGTTTTCTGCCAGTGTGCATATGTCCGCACAATTCTCCATAAAAGGCAGCAAAGATTAATTTATGGGGGATATCTATCATACTTATCATACATTTCTCTTTGTGGTATAGATCCACTTGGCTTACGAGATTCTTTTTAACCCGGAGTCAAGATCGGCTTACGATCAGACTCGTCGATAAACCCACTCCATCTCACCCTCAGACTTTGCCACCAATGAACGAAATTTGATTCCAAGCATCTAGTTTTTTTTTTGCGTCTCAAAACTAAAATAGATCCAAAGGTAAAAAATTTGAGTATAAATTTTGTTCAGGTATTGTATTCAAATGGAGGATCCCATCACACAGAATGGTCAGATTCTATGGGATGTGTTTGCAACTACATAATCAACTTGGACAGGTTGCAAAAAAAGCAAGAACAAAATCTGCAAGAATTTCTTTCTTGACTTGAGTTTTGCCGGGAGGGATTCCAACCAATATGGAAACTTGTACAGTCTTGATGACCGGGAGTTACATTGCTCTTGGCCAATTACATAGGAGGCTTCAGGCTTCATGATTGAAATTCAAAAATTTTAGAGCCAAGTTCCAGACCTTTCTCAACGACATTCCAAAAATTTATTCTGAACAATCTGTACAGCCATTTGAATTATTAAAAAAAACAGATGATGATAAACATCTTAAAAGGGGCTTCATAATAGGATGATTTTCAATCATGAAGCAGTCAAACTTCCAAGGTCATCACGGTCCATGGCCGCCCCGTAAGAATTATGTAGCAGCTCTGAATGGTCAATTTTTTCATAGGGAAAGACAAGGTTCTCTGAGGTGGAACATCCTCTGAGAGACAGCTTGTACTCATCAAGGAAGAACTCACTCCCCCCCCACATCGCTGGCGCACCTCCTTCTCACCTGTCGCAGTCAGGCCTCACCTTGACGTTGAGACGTTGTGTCTGAGAAGGTCTGGAGCCACTTGCCTGGCTTATTGAAGCTTCAGGATCGGTTTGTTGCACTCATCTGATCCAGGGGTGCAACGAAACAGCTCATGTTCTTCCCCCATTGTTTTTCTTACACTCGCTTGGAAGGGTGTAGGCATGGTTATGTATGAGGCTACAGTACCTTCCATCTTGGACAAGAACCAGATGACAAGCAAGTCCTATGGAATGGAGATCCCTATGGAATAGACATCCTTGGAAAGACACTTTTGGGGATTGTTTGTTGTTGTTTGCATGTTCTCACCTATCCATCTGAAACAGAAGACAAACGACGAGTGCGATTCCACGCCCAAAAACAAAGCACACCAATGAGAATATTGACAACTTTGCAAGAATCTCGGCAAGGATGATCAATCAGGATATACAAAAATAAAAGAACGAGGAGAAGGGGATCGATTGGGTGGATGGATTACACGGGAATATAAAGAGGTAACAAGGGGGTGTAGACAAGAGCCAGCGATGCAAGTGGAATACAAAGACATGTGAAGATCGGGCAGCAGCCAGAGAGAGGAAGGATGATGACCACGCTAGAGGCCTTTAAGTTCGAGAACTAAACCGAGGACGAGTTTCGAGAACTCAGCCATATCTAAAAAAAGGAAAAAATCGGGGAGAAAATGATGTCAATGGACCCCTGAGGACTAAGGGGAAGGGAGAGACACATACGGTCGAAGCTGAACTCGGGTTGATGGATGGTGTCGCCAGTCGAATGGATCTTTTGGTTCGAGTCTTCGAAGGAGGATTCGATGGCAAACGCGCTGGGCACGTTGATGTTGATCCAACTGGCATGGTCTGAACACGCGTATCCACACTTGGTGTTCGTCCATCCGATCGCCAAATATTCGTCGATCAATAATCTCAAATACTCTGCATGTATGTTGAAAAAAAATATGTGAGTGATTTCCAGAACCGAATCGGAGATTTTTTTTTTATATGAGAAAAGAAAAAAAAAGGGGGGGGGGGGAAGAACTGACGGGTGAGAGAGGGGTCAACAAAGTCGGTGACCAGCCCGACAGTTGGTGTAGTGCCCTTCTTGACGAACGCGGTCATATCGAACTGGACCATGCCGTCGACGGGCCGGTTAGCTTGTCGATACGCGCGTGCAACTTCCTGACTGCCGAGCAGGCCGCCCTCCTCGGCGGAGAACCACATGAACTCGAGCGCGCCCTGGCCGGCTTTGGGGGTCCAGTTGTGGTGGAGCAGGATGTCGAAGGCCTCGAGGATCGACGTCGTCCCCGAACCATCGTCGTCTGCCCCCGGCGCAGGTAGGAACGGGAGCAGGTTCGTCGAGTCTTGGTGCGCGCCTACGATAAACGTCCCGCTACTTCTCGTCGCTGCCTCTTCGCCATTCGGCTCGAAACGCGCTATGATCGTGTTCTGCCCCCACTTGTGCGGGAATTCACTCACCGTCACGTTCGATTTCGACTTGGATACCAACGTACGGATCTCATTTAAAAGCCAGGCTTGGCTTTCTTTGCCAGTCGATGAGCGATAATATCTAATGTTGTTGTTTTTTGTATTTATATATGAGAATCTCTTCATGTTTCTGTGAGAGAGAGGAGTAAGAGAAGAATTGGAGTGCTCACCGGGTTCGGAAGTCGGTGAATTTCGTCAAGCGTTTCTTCATCCGAGCGGGTTGAATAAGACGAGTAAAATTAGCGACAGCCTGATGCCCGAGTTTAATTTTGTGAGGGAAGGAATGGACTGGAGATTTTGATTGATGAAGAAGATCCGACGAATGATGGGTGACGAAGGTAGGGTTGAGAAGTTGCGGGTCGGAGTCGAGGGTGAAGGCGTCTGAGTGGAGGTCGCTAGCGAGCCACGAGTCGGTGATGTCCACGAACTTCCTGCGTCCATCCTTGAAGATCAGCAAGGCTTTCTCGCCCTCAGTGGTCCATTCCTGACGCCCATCGGCCCATCTGATCAGTCGCTTCTCCGGGTACGCCTTGATATGTTCTGTGATGCGCTCGAGATGGTTGTCAGTGAGCAGGCTTTCGGCTTTCTCTTGGCTTAATCGGTGTTGGTTCTCTCCTCCAAGTAGTGATTCTATGGGCGGACTGAGTTGGAAGTTGATCTGGTTGGTGGCTCGGTTGATGACCAGTGGTGGTTCTTCGGCTGCGCTCGGTTGGGTTGCTGTTGATAGGAGTAGCAGGGCAACTGCTCCGATGATGGTCGAGTAGTTGAGCATCTTGCTTGTTGGAGGATGGTGATGATGATGATATGTAAGTTGGAGTGAGTTGGTTGGGCTTGGTTGGGTCCTCCTGGGTTTTTTGACCAAAAACTAGCCCAGCTGCTTATAAGTTATATAGGGCATGACGCCCCCCGGGGTAAGGGAGGAGACCCCCCGACCGGAGCCTGGAGATCCTCCATCAACAACTCCTGAGGGACATCCTGTGCATCTATACATCTACTGGGAATCATGGAAAATCTGTACTACAGCTCTAATCCATCCAGATCAATGTACAATGATAATGCTAATCGGCAACAAAGAAGCTTATCAAACTAAATAAATTAAAAACTGCTTGGTAAACAATCTGGAGTCACTAGGGGAGATCACATCTGCAGCCATTCGAGCAAGGGCTAATGCCATGTGCATGGCCACCCAGTCGGTCCAATGGTCCATTGAATAATTAATCTCAACTCACTTGCCGTTCTATTCTCACTCGAAATATAATTGCAAAGAGTTTTGATCTTGACTGACTTCCCTCCGTTCCAAATTAAGTTATAATCTTACCTTGACTCTCTCACTTATTTTCTTTTTCAAAAAATCTTCTGGGAAGTCTTTACTGTTTAGAAAGCCTTGTGATGCAGGTTCAACTTATGCACGCACTATAGTTTCAAGTGGGAAAACAGAAATATGTGTAAGAGGATCGAAACCTTGATGTGTGCAGCCTTATTCAAAACTTTTGGTCATGATAATTTTCAGATCTGGTTGTATTTTGACAATTTCCAGAAAATCCGATCACTTCATCTCACATGCCACTTCACGTTCTACTCCATCCAAGTCTTAAACTAGACCGAAATTCCCTCACTCACAATCTTAAAACACTCAATTTAACATTGTGAGTGGGTCCTTGCAACCTCATCATGGGGTTTTTGATGCATATGAAAAGTTGTTCCTTAATGATTTTTTTCTTTCTTTGCCCGTAATGGCATATAGAAGTGTTATAATTGGTAGATAAGATAAGATAAGATAAACTCTAGCAAGGGATGTGATGGTATTATTCAGACATGCAAAGAGGATTTAGTCGAAGTCGACTGAACTGGACAATGCCATTTTTTTGGGTGATGATGGATTGATTTCTTGTTGAGGAAGGAAATGAGGAGAACAGATGAGAGAGGAATCTGAGAGGATGAGGATCAAGAATTAGCATGTTGGAACGCAAACTGAAACCACTGCAAGAGACAAGCCAAGTCTTCCAAGCCGACGGAGACTCTGATGAGATTGGAGTCGACGCCGAACTGACTAGCCCACTCGAGTTCATTGAAGTGAGCGAGGAGGACGTAGGGCGAGGAGAGGGTGAAGTTGGTGCCCAAGGAGGGACCTTTATAGCTCTTGAGATGGTCATAGAACGTCTCGCAAGACTTGGCGTCATGGAAGATGATGCTGAACAGTCCCCCATATCCGCCGGGAGGATGCTTCCGTCGACACATCTCATAGTTCTCTCGCGTCGTGTAGCGCGGATAATGGATCGACTTGATGATCTTGTTCTCTTCCGAATCTCGCAAGCTCATCAGATACTCGCAGATCCCACTCGCATTGCCGTTGATCTTCGCTACCCGTGTGCGGAAATCCCGCGAGTTCCGTTCCATAAATATCGCATCCTCTCCGAAGTAAGTATCTTCATATATCCCAGTCGGATTGGTTTGGTCCCCATCCAAGAGGCCCTTCAACGTGCTGTGATGTTTTGATGATGGGTTGATGATCATGCTGTTTCCGGTTCAATCGTGTGTGTGTGTGGTTTTCATGTCAAACGTTTGGTTCAAGTTTCCTTGGATATAAGGATGAAAAAAAAACTCTCACCTGCCACCCATTACATTGCTGTCTCCGCTAAATACCTTAGTGAGTGAGCTGACCAGGATATCAGCATAAGGCAAGACCTCGACGTTTAAGAAGTTCCCAATAGTTTCATCGATGACGACGAGGAAGCCATACTGATCAGCCAACTGACGAAGTTGGACGAGGTCAGGAGATTTGAGTAGCGGGTTGGAGGGGAATTCACAAAACAGAGCGGCGATGGGCGGGATCCCTTGGGCTTGATTTTGTTCGAGTAACTGGGCCAGAGCCTGGAGATCGTCGGATTCTCCGTGGCCGAAGAAGTGGGCTCCGGGGCCCCATTTCTCGATGATCTTGAGGGTGTCCGTGTACGGGAATCCGAAACAGATACTCTTGCCGATCGGTTGGTCCGGATGTAGGCGAACTTGCAATGACATTGCCAGTTGATGGGCATAAAAGATCGAGCTCATCCCGGTGGGATAGAGGTAGATATCCGACTCGGTTAATTGACCGGCTCCACGTTCGGATCGTTTGAGGTTGGCTGCTGGCGGACTGCTCGAGCCGTCGGAAGGGGCCGTTTCGACCAAGATATCAGCGATCCTTCGTCGGAGTGCCAGTTTGGCACCCTGGACATGTTGGATCGGCAGGTTACGACCATAACGCTCTTCGACATAGGTCGACGTGTTTTCGTCGGTCTCGAGCCCGGTTGGGATGGGTGGGGCGGGCAGAGGGAATTTGGGGCTCTGTTTGACGTTGTAGCGGCGAGGTGCAACGGCAGGCGAGTTAGGAGGTGAGGGGAGATCGTTGAGGATCTGGCTGTGCGGGGCTCGAGGAGCTTCTCTGACTGGGAAGGAGCCCATGAGCCGGAGAGCGCGTTCGGCGAACCGAGACGAAATCCCTAGCCCGGTGTGCTGCCAAAACGTCCGAGCCAAGCCGAAGATCTTCTCGTCAGGTACGAAGAGCACAAATATCCGGAGGGGTGGTTCGGGACGGGTGGTGACGGGACTGGACGGTTTTGATGAAGAGGCCTCGAACCTGACCAGACGGCATCGTTTCTCCAGTCCCGCTTCCGCGATGGCTTGTTTTAGAGCCCGGTCGGCCACGAATTTCCGACACAGGTTGGCGGCCTTTTCGGATGGGAATAGCATGCATCTTTCCTGAGGTGATAAGGCATGGGCCGCCCGACAGATCTCGGCCAACTGTTTGTTTTTAGTAAAGATGTGTCAAGTCAGTCTATGCTTGATTACAAAAACAAAACAGTTGGAATATGTAAAATTTTCCTGGGATGATGGATCGGGTGCTAACCTTTTGGATATCCAGATGGATAAAGAAGCGGGGATAGCCGGTGCTGAGTTTATTATGGACTCGTTCGAGGCCAAGTTCATAATCCACGTTATCCTTCCAGGTAGGCAGCGAGACGGATACGGCGTGTGGGGTGTAGATGGGCACCGATGAGCCCAGTTCGGCCGAATGTCCGGTGGTTGCAGGTAACATCTCGCGATGGACTCCTTCAACGAATCTGTGGGAGTTTCAATCGCTCCGTCTTTCCCCTTTATGTATTACAATGTAGCCCCCATTAAAACTTGAAAGGATGGTTCCGACAGCTCGGTACATATTTCCAATCGCTTCTCTTGACTTCCTTCCGTCCAGCAGCTGACAGTCCATCCAGCCTGAAACAACCCAACGGAACACCCTCGACAATCCCAACTGGACACACTCAGTACAGGGCTCAAGAACTCCGCGCAATTCTCCGACTCGGCATCCACTCCAGTTACACAAACTCCAGAGTCTTGAGCCCACACATGACCCACCACTTTGCTCATGGATGTGATTACATAACACCCCCCAAAAGGGAAAACTCTCACCTGGCGAGCCGGCATACAGATGGCCCAGATCCACAAACCATCAATCCAAGGGCAGACCCATGTTTTGTTATGCAGGTGTTAGGCAAGATGGATCAGGGAATCAACTTGTTTGAGAGGAAGCTTGGATATAGTGGTGTCTGCAATTTCCCTCTACCAAAATGCCATAACCTCAAGCTAGAAAAATTGACTTGGTCACCCTTGGTCTGAGCACAACTCCAATCAAGGGGTTTGTGAGGACCCCAGCAAGCCCTAGGATATTTATAAAAAAGTCAAAATTTCAGCAAAATTCATACCTGGGGGCCCCGTGGTGAGTCATTGTTCTTTGGAAAATCAATACCTTTTTGAGAGTATGCTCAAGGTAAAATCCCCTAAAACACCCAATAAATTGACATATACAGTGGGGGACAACATATTACCGTAACGGATTTTACAGTGTCTGAAATGTTGAGGAAGAAAAACCCAAAAACTCACCCCCTCTGGGTGGCAAAAAAGTGTGATTTTTTAGGCCAATCTTCCCAGAAAACCCACCTACAGTATGAATTCCAGTTTAATCTCAGGTCTCAGACCCACCCAACTTGCCCAAAAGTCTTCCTGAGGGGATTATCACGGGGATTGACATGAGCATAGGCATATATGAGGTGGTTACACACATAAATATATCCACTTGAACTCCATCCACATTTTCTTCAGGCTATCTGCAAGTCCAGGTTTAGGTCCTAACTGCATCCTTATGGACTTGAAAGCCATTTTTAATGACATGTGTCTGAAATTATGGATTTCAAAAAGTGAAAAAAGAGAACCATTGGTCTGATTGCAAAACCAAATAAGAAATGGAAAGTACACACTCCAAAAAGCCCAAAAATGACACTTTTGGGGTTGAACACCACACATGGCAGACAAACATTCAGCCAGCATGGTAAACTCAACTTTTGCTGGTGGGATGTTACAGTAATATGGTGTCCCCCACTGTACCCTCCTCAAAGGGCCTCTCTGAGTGACATGGGAGAGGTCCTTCAAGGATGGTGTACACCCATTTTGCGACTTCTCAAACTTTGCAAACATCTCCCCCCAGCACCCCAACAACTATCTTTGTCTTTTGAAATTGTTCCTGAGGGAGAACTTAAGCCCTCCATCAGTCTTGTCTGAGAGCACATTAGCCCTTTCAGCAAGAATTCAAAAAGCTTATTTTTAGGCCTTTTTGCCACAAATTCTTCATAGGTATGTGAACCCAGTTTAAACCAATAAAATCTTGGTATTTGGCCCCAGATTGTACATTTTACCTCCCCCCCTTTTTTTAGGGCACCTGATAGGTCAACATTTACCTTCCTTGAAGGACCTCTCAGAGTGACATGGGAGAGGTCCTTTGCTGCATGATGAAAGCACAAACTTGAAGTCACAAGAATTGGTGAAGTGGTGCAGAATAGGCCCCAAAGAATTAATATTAAAAAATAAAAACAAAAAATAAAGTTTTGAAATCTGTGAAAACTAAAAAATAGCGATATTTTCTTCCAAAAGCTCTGATATTCATTTTGGGGGAGTGGGAGCACTGGAAGAAAGAAAGAATGGAACATGGGAAGAATGATTATAAATGAAAATTTTGTAAAAGATGGTCACCAGGTGGTTTCAAACAACTGTTGAGTAGCACATTTGCCAGCACATGTTGTGGAAAAGCACTAGAATTTACTGTTTTGACTCCAATCTGAACAACCAACCTGGCTCAACCTTTTTTGGTTCCAATTTTTTTTTTTCATTTATAATCATTCTTGCCATGTTCCACTCTTTCTTGCTTTCAGCACTCCCACTCCCCCAAAATGAATATCAAAGCTTTTGGAAAAACCCAATTTTATTTTTTATTTTTCACAAATTTTGAAACTTTGTTTTTTGTTTTTATTTTTTCATATTCATTTTTTGGCACCTATTCTGCACCACTTGACCAAGTCTCATCACTTCAATTTGGTGCTTTGAAGCTCTGGGGTCCAAAACAGGCAGCCAAAAATAACGGTCCACCCACTGTACACCCATTTTGTGACTTCTCACACTTTGCAAACATGCGGATGTTAGCCCCACGCGCCCTCAAACCAATCCAACTTTGACTACAAAAAAACAGACCACTTCTCAATCACCACAAAAAGGCACAAACAGTAGGGTTAGGGATAGGGTATGGGATAGGAGTTAGGGAAGTGTTTTTTTAGAAACTACCAATGATTTTTATTCCTGATAATCTAGAGTTCTTTAAGTAATCTAGATATAAAATGATCAATTTGTAGGAGCAGTAATTGATTCATTATGAATAGGAATGATAATCATATTCCATACTAACTAGCATGAAAGGAATGAAATTCTTGTGAAATAAGAGAAGAGAGAGAGTAAAAGAGTGAAATTTCGACAAACTAAAATGGCCTATTTTATGGTGTTCAAACATAAATATGGAGTTGTCAGTATAAAAAACAACAGAATAAAAAGCAATAATTGGCTGCAGCAACCTGTCAGCATACTTAGAACTCTAATTGACAGGTCCCGCCCAAAATTGTCGAGTGTGCTTTTAATTTAGGGGGTTGGAAAAATGACTCCCAAAAATTTGACGACGACTCCCATTTTGGTCGAGGGGTCGTTGGACGGGAGTCGTCTTTCCAATTCCCCCTGGGGGATTGGGAGTTGTTGAATTTTTTGCTCATCAATCCCAATCTCTCTTTTCCTCTTTCTTCACTGTCACATGTCACTCATTCCTTACCGGTATTCTCCCTGATCTCTTATTTAATATGCATAAATACCTGCTCCCACATCTTGTGCAATTGTTGTAGCTAGACTATTTAAGACCCTAGTTATTGAGAAATTAAAACACTATCGGTTCTTTATCTTTTTAAACCGTTCCTGAAAGAAGCACTTTAGCCCTTCATCAGTCTTTGCAGAGAGCACTTAAGCCCTTTCTGCAAGAATCCAAAAAGAATTTTTCTTGGCCTCTCGGCCTTATTTTCATCAGGAGTCAACCTCCCATCCAATTTTATTTATTTTTTATTTTTATATTTTTTTTGGGTGGGAAGTCCGAGAATCCAAAAAGTATTTTTCTTGGCCTCTCGGCCTT